TCGTGACCCCATGGACCAGAGCATGCCAGGCCCTCCCGTCTTCCACTGCCTCCCATAGTTGTGTCAAATTCATGTTGGTCGCTTCAATGACACCGTCCAACCATCTGTCGTCCCCTTCTCCTCTTGCCTTCACACCTTCCCAACATCAGGATCTCAGCTTGGTCCCGGCCAGAGAAACACCCCCCCTCCCACCACTAATGCTAATGATTTAGGTAGCGTTGGGACGTTCGATTCCCCACTGTTCTTCCCTCACAAGGGCTGGCCTCGATGATCCATAGGGTTCCTTCCAACTCTGCAGTTCTAAGATTATTCAGCTTAAAACCAAAAATGACCCACCAGGGAGGAATGTCAGAGAATTGTGTAAAATTGTACATAGGGTGGAGGGAGTGTTTTTCTCCCATCCCTCTGGACAAAGATGCTGCTTGCTCACCCTATCCTCCTTAAAGCCGGTCTTCTTTGTCTTTGAAGTGCTTACTGACACCATGTAGTAAGGGATTTTTGTCACAAAATACCCAGATCCTCCGCTTCCACTTAAGGGGAGCGAATACACCGGAATAGCAAAATTCTTTAAACCTAGGACAGAGGGGAAAAAAGGTTAATTCATTTTCCATCCAATTCAGAATTCCTGCCTGAAATACAAGAATCTTGAACAATCTATTACAGTAATTTATTAGCGGTTATAATTTTTGTGTATATTTTTGTGTATATTTGTATGTTTTATTTATGTTTCTGGAAGCCGCCTAGAGTGGTCACAGGACCGGATGGGCGGGGTATAAATAAAATAAATAAAATTAAAAAAATAAAAAAAATAAAAAAAGAAATGAATGCCCGGCGTTGAGGACGGCAGAAAGAGGAGCGAGGTCAGCAGATCTGGGGAGGGTTTCGGATTTCTCTCCCAGGCAGAGCCGGGCTCTCAGCCGCCGCCGCTCGCCACCCCCAAAGGCAAGCCGGAGAAAGAGGGGTGTCTTCTCCCCTTAGGCGGCGGGGTGTGAGCGTGTATGTTTCTCTCGCCGAGACCAAGCTGAGCTGCAGTCACGTGAGGGAGAGTGGACATGAAGTCACGTGATTGGAGGCATTCAGCTGCTGGGTCCCAAGTGGAAAGAAGGAGAAGAGGGCAGGGAAAGGGGGTTGAAGGTAAAGCGGGGGTCGCCTCCCCCCCAAAAAAGAACCCGGGCAGAAGCCGGCCTTCTGGAAATCATACGAAGGAGGTAAGAGAGGAAGGAATTGCTGGTGCAAGAACTGAGCTCGGAAACCCAAGATCCAGCAACAAGAGGACGATAAAGGGGGGCAGTGGGGAGATTTAGGGGTCAGATTTGGGGTCACGAAAGCGGTGCAGGGGGGAAAGGAGGAGGGAGATGAGTTTGAGAGAGGCTTGGCTTGCCACCACTACCTGCAATATACTCTACGTTTGCTTCACGTGCCTTCTTTAGTTAGGCAGGTTTATATATATTATATATAACGTTTATTTGCATTAGCAAAGTAAATATAAAATCTGCAAAGATATAGAATCCACGCATCTGAATCAAAATAACAGACGAGTACATATGCATTGGATAACTATACCTACCAAAAATTGGTCAGATAAAACTATACTGTATAATTTTGTTGTTGTTGTTACTCCTTTAGAAACATAATAGTTAGGCAGGTTCTGCCTGCATTTCTAGGAACGATTTAAAGAGCTAACCAGCAGAGGAAGAATTAGGGGAGAGTGAAAAAAAAAACCCCACCCTGAGACTTAAGGTTTTTGAAATTGTCCTTGTCCACTGCAAAATCTTGGGATAGGTAAATTGTGACCAAACTGAACCTAGAGTTTACACGATGGGTTTGATCCCTCTTGCATTAATTTTTTTTCTTGGTTTCCCTGAAAATTTTGGAACATGCAAGAATTGGATTTCAATCAGAGGGAATGAAACTGTTAATGTCTTTCCTTATATACATTTGCTCCACAAAGGAAATGTAATTTGTCTGATAAAGCTTCCGATGTGGGGATGGATTACTTTTGACTGACCAGATGTTCTGGGACTACTACTCCCGTTAGTTCTGTGAGGCAGGAATGATGGGAGATGTAGTCCAATATTTGAAAAGTCACAGATTCCCAATCCATATTCTAACCACTTGCAGAGCCAAGAGGTGAGCAAGGGGACCTCCACTTCTTATCCCCTCCCCACATAGTTGTTCACAGACATCTCCCAATTCCTTCTATTAATTTCTAAATACAGAAATAGGAAACAGGATCAATCAACTGAACTGGTGAAATACTAGGAAGAAAAACCTTCAGAACATGGCCAAACAGCCCAAAAAACCTACAACAACCATCGGATCCTGGCCGTGAAAGCATTCGAAAATAAATCAACTAAACCCTTGATTTACATGAAAGGTATTAGAGAGAAGAACAAGAAGTGTTCTAAAGCATCATGTCTCCAGGCAGTTTATTTATTTATTACATTTATATCCTACCCATCTAGACTGCATCGACTCTCAAATAGAAGTTGTTCTCAAATAGAAGTTGTTTTGGAGTGATGCAAAAAGTCTACTTCATTGGTTTGTGTCGGCTTGGGTTTTGGCTTCCCATCACAGGCATCTCCTTTCTCATAGGAGGACAGATCACTTTACCCACAATCCTCATTCTTGCGTTCTCGTTGCTCATTTCAGGTCCCAGACTCTCTCTCTCTCTCTCCAAAGGGGCAACCCAGCATCCAAGCTTTTATAAGGACAAGTTCTGGAATGGACTTTGGCTAATAAGACCTGATGTGATATCCTGATTTGACTGGGGCGTTTTGTTTCTAGATCAGCCCATCTTGGAGAACATGGAGAATACATCCCATCACGACACAGGTGAGGGAAGTGAAACAGAATCAATATGAATTACCCATGTGTGCTTTACTCGAGAGCAAAAACGAAGGCGGTGGAGCCCTCCCTATCTTGCTAGACTGGAGTCCTCCCCATTTGCCAACAGCACCAATGAGGATGAGGGCTGAGGGGAGCTACAGTCTTAGCAAGATCTGGAGGGCCACCCCTTCTTCACTTCAGCCTGAGAAATTTGTTTAGAAAGGAATAGCTTGAGTGGGTTGGAGATCAGTCTGTCTCTTTTAACCCCATTTTCTCCTCCTTTTTCTCTTGATCAGGGTTTCTTAATGTAATAGTCAAGGTGGAAGAAGAGGAAAAGCTGCATGAGAGTGAATTAGAGACTTTCTCAAGGACCAGCTCAGGTGAAGGATGGGCTACCAAGGGCATTAACTGTAAAGAAATGTCTGAGTCACATTGCAGCTTTCTAGACCAAAGGTTTACTCTTGCTGCCCTGAGTAGACCTTTGCTCTAGATGGGCGGGGTATAAATCTAATAAAATAAAATAAAACAAAGAAACTTTTTAGCATCTTTCCACTTGCATCCTTCCACTGCTCCTGCTGCAGGACTGTTTGGTGGAAGTAGACCTTTCTGCAGCCTGTATTTTATTGTTAGCAGTGTGTTCCTAAGGCCAGGTTCACCAACGCAGCTCTGTGAAAGGTCACATAATTTTCACCCAATTATACTTGTATGTAAGCAGAGGTAACGTTTCCCCTTTACAATTTGTCCAGTCATGTCTGACTCTAGACAGCGGTGCTCATCTCTGTTTCCAACCCATAGACCTAGAATTTTGTCTGCAGACCCTCCATGGTCACGTGGCCAGCGTGACTAGACACGGAACACCGTTTTACCTTCCCACAGAGGCGGTACCTATTTATCTACTCAAATTTTTGCATTTTGAATGCTTTTGAACCACTAGGTTGGCGGGAAATGGGACAAGCGACGGGGGCTCACTCCGTCGCATGGATTTGAGCTTATGACTGCAGGTCTTCTGACTTGCAGCACAGAGGCTTCAGCAGTTTAACCCGCAGTGCCACCACGTCCCTCTAAGCAAAAGGCTTTCATAAAAGCAGTGAATTCCACCCTGCAAGCCTGTTGTAAAGCACCCCTTCAACCAATGGCATCTGGGCCAATTAGTCAAGGGTGACTAGTCCAGTCAGTGAACTGATGTAACCTTTCAGCTGTGCTAACCACCTGTTCCTGCTGCTTTCATCCGATTCAGGATTCCCTGATACAGATGTGAAGATGGAGGAGGGAGCAGGCGTACAACCAGGCATCTGTGGAAGGTAGAAGTGTTGCTGAAGAGCAGTCAGGCAAGGGAGGGGTTTATGTACTGTTCCCATCAGCCAAAGCCAGTGTGACCAAATTTTCAAGTGTTTGTTGCTCCCAGGCAATTAATTGATGAATTCATTTCAATCCTGTTGACTATCTTTTCTTGCCTTTTTAATTTCCTATAGGATTTCTGGACATTGCCATAAAGCCAGAGAAGGAAGAGGGGTTTTGCAACCAGGGATCAGAGGAAAGCAGAGAGGCTGCTCTTCGCCAGTCAGGTGGGATAAATGTTCATCCGGTAAAGGAACTGGATTTGTTGATCTTTCTGGCCTCTCCCTGCTCTGCAGTTCTACGATTGATTGATGCTTGCACCCAGTGAATGAACGAATGAAATATGGCACCCTTGCTGACCATTTCCTCTTGCCTCTTTCCTTTCAATTCAGGATTTCTTGATGTTGTCATAAAGCCAGAGGAGGAAGAGCAGACGTGCAAACAGGAATCCGTAGAAAGTGCAAGAGTTTCCTGGGACCAAGCAGGTGAGGGGAGCGGTTCGCATCGTTTTCCCACCGGGGCCTGGCCGGATCGGGTCCCTTCTAACTCTACAGTTCTAGGATTCTGTGGTCCTTAAAGCTCTTCAGTTCACAAAGGACTGTGGCCATCTTAAGCTCCTTTTCTTGCCATTTCCCTTTGATTCAGAGTTTCCCGAAATTGTTGTAAAGCTAGAGGAGGAAGAGCAGCAGGACAGTCCGCGAGCCGAGGAAAGGACCAGCATCGCTGCAGACCGGCCAGGTGAGGTTCATGTACCTGCATTGCCAGAGGGGGGGGGACATGAACTTTGGGACATTCCAAGGCTCTGTGATGCCATTGTTTT